GACGTCTCTCGTCACAATGTGTGGTACAAAGGGCTTTTTCCTCTATGATAATGGTGACTTACAGGACACAGGCGACAAACTTTGGGTGACGTTTTGGTGCAATGATTTCTAGATGGCATGTCTCTATCGCAACAGCTACAAGTGAAATGCATCAGTGTCATCGGCATTTGTACTTTAACAGCAGCATCTAAAACATTTCTCTCTTTACATTCAACCAAGTGTGTGTGTGTGTGTGTGTGTGTGCAGGGCAGGTCCAGTTTATATGATACATTTGCACTGAGTTTTATCACTGAGCATTTAACATTCAACCGGAGCTCTGCGTCCTCCATGAGCGGACGGATGCAGCTCCGCCCTCCACCTCTTCTTGATCATTTCAACAAGTCCTCTCGTTTGCTGTTTGACCTCCAGGCTGAGTAGCGGAGGGGAGGAATGAGGATGGATTGGATAATGGAACAGCTCAGTTTTCTTCTGCTTCCGACTACTGTCTCTGCTCCAGGGGTCACTACAACAGGACTTCTCAGTCTTTGGTTTCCAGGTTGAGGGGTGGTACCTGCTTTAATGCCTGAAGGAGGGCAGGGGAGTCCATGGGGGTCTGCGATATGGCTGGGGCTGGAGAGCCTCCCCTGGGAGACATCACTAGCTGAGGTGGCGACGGTCTTTCACTGGACATGGCTGGTGCAGAGCCTCCCATGCCAGGGTAGAGCATGGGCACGGCCCCAGGGTACCAGCATTTCTCCAGCATTGGCAGGTAGGCTGCAGCGGAGGGTGGAATGAGGTAGAAAGGCATGCAGAGAGGATGTGGTGGGGGTGGTGGATGATTAGGGGATACGCTCATGTAACTACCGTAACCACTTGAGGACGATGAAGCTGACGACTCCCCACCCGAGAGCAGCTCATCTTCTGACGACTCCACCCGGGGTCGTTTGTGACGTGGCTCTTCATCCTCCTGCTTGATGCCAGAGCTCTGCCTCTCTCCCAGCGCTCGCTTCAGCTGGCTCTCCTGGCCATAGTTCTTCTCCAGCTCTCCCCCATAGCCACTGTCTGTGTCTGTATCGCTGCCACTCTGCTCGCTGCTTGTCAGAGCATACGCTCGCTGGATGACAGGCACACAGTTCCTCCCGTATCCCTCGCTGGGTTTGGGCGGTAAGCTGGTGTGCATCTCCTTGTGAGGTTGGTGCTGGTGATAGTTGGGGTTCTCCTCGTGTCGGGGGCTGACAGGGGTTCGGGGCCGGTTTGGACTTTGCAGTACCTCTGCAGCCAACTTGTGAAGGTGATTGATCACATGAGATGGCGTGAAGTCTCCGTCTGTCTCGTGGTTGGCTAGAAACTGAACAATCTCCTTTGCACACATGTGGAAACCAGAGCAGAACATCTCCTCTGACTTCTCCTGGCTGACGGGAGGCTGCTCTGTAAACACAGCAAGAAAACCACAAGTCAGAAACTGTAACTTAACATTTGTTGTTTTTTTAGTCTGGTTTTCAACAGTTAAGGCTATATCTGAAGTTACTCATTTGCCTTCAACTCCTTCATATTCCTGTCACTGTGTGTTCTGCAGCCTGTCCAGCAAAAACATCTTGTTCTATATGTGCAAGTGATCCGCCGCTCACCAATTTGCATGCCATTCTGCAGAGCGAGGATCTTCTGCTGCTGCTGCTCCAGAAGAGACGTGAGGGCTTTCACATGCTTGAGTGTGAGCTCCAAAACCACGGCCTTCTCCAGATGTCCCAGAGTCTGCAGACGACACACACAGTCAGCACATCCTCACGTTTTACATAACACGTAGAGACCAATGCATTACCCCCTTCTTACGCATAATCTCTAATATTCTCATGAACAGCAAAAGCTAAAATTATGATTAGAATATGTTTATCGAGATATAGAATAGGGCACATTTCATAAATAAACATTTCATTTGATATTGAGCTGATTTATTATGCAAAGAATGAAACACGTCAGGAGACACTACCCTGCACTGATGACGCACAGAGGATGCAATGCCCCCAATCAGCCACTCGGTGGTGCATGCTCCACAGTGTATGTCAATCCCACCATCCCTCCCCAGCTCCCGCGTGAACTCACCGTGAGCTTCAGGTGCTCCGGTAATAAATCTTTCAGCTGCGCGATGCACTCGTTTATCCGATCACGTCTTTTCTTCTCGATGAGTCTGTGAGGCAGCTTGTAGGTTTCCTGCGGAAAAAAACAGCTTTGTTTAGAAGGGGAATTGAGCAGATCAGCCGCCAGCTCCTCCTGATCAGAGGCAGGCGCAAGGGAGGGAGGTCTCCAGCAGTTATGTCATAGCAGAAATTAGGTCAGCCGTTTATGGGAATATAAAGGACTTCTTCTAGCAGCATAGTTATTTCCTTGTCGCTCACAGGCTTCAATAAAAGCTATGCAGCTCACGATTAAAGCATTAAGTTTGGTAATAAAAATAAAAAATATATTAACGAACCTTGCTCTCCTCTCCTCTCTTCATCCCCCGTCTGGGTTTATAAACATACATGGGGAAGTCCATCCTGAAGGAGAAAAGGAGAACAGGTCAGAATGAGACGTGCGCGCATGGTTTGGTTTAGTGCATAAGTCACATAGGATATTAAACAATAAAGTATTTTTATTATTAAGTGTGACTTACCCCTGCACGTCTGACAGCTCAGCCTGGTGTTTGGACAGAGGTGGTGGCTGCGCGCTTGGAATTCGCTCCATTCTTTTTTACTCCAATTACGCACAGTCAAAGTCGAGGTTCTTTTCCAGTTCAAGTCACGAATAAACAAGCATGTATTTAGTTTGTGAAATGCACCAAAATGATGAACGAATATTCAGTAAGTTGTAATAACTCAACACGAGTCTAACTCGTGTAAATGTTGTTCTGGGTGTGGAAATCTTCTCTGAAGTTAGTCCTTGCAGCGCAGGAGGACAGCAGCCGTGTTGGTGGCGCGTTGGGAAAGTGGGGGAGGACAGAGCGACGAGTTAAATAAACCCTCTGACTCTCCGCTCAGCCTGACCTACCTCCGTCACATGAGGCTCACGTGTTAAACGGCGCTGTATCCTCGGCGGAGGGACGGCCCACTTGTCTGCCGATAACGAGCCTCAGTGGGCGGAAGGGCTGCGTACGTCAGCACGGGGGGAGGCGCGTATCGTGTCCCGTGTACCACCATGCTGAAGTGTGTGGAAACAAGCCTGCTGCGCGCTCCCCGTGCGCCTCAGCTCGGGGAACGTGCAGCCACCTGAGCGGAGCGGTGCAGTGGTTAACATGGCCCGATGGTGCACGAGAGCTGACGGCCATGATAGCAAATATCTACTGCTGATGGAAACATGTAAAATAACACAATTAAAGCACAGTAGTGATTAATTATAAGCCGCAGGATTATTAGGCTGCACAGGCACAGGATTGGCTTTGAACTATATTTTACGCTTTACAAAGTGTTTATATGTTTGTTATGTTGAGTTTGGTACGTTTCAGAAACATAAGCTCTGCATTTAGAGGAATACATTTTACAGCTGCTTTTGTATTTACAGTTCATATTAAAAGTGCATTAAACGTGAAAAATTAGTTTATTATCTAAATAAATATACTAAATAGTTTTATTTTACATCTTTTTAATAACAACTGCTACGACGATGATGATAATAATAACAACAGTATTCTATTCTATGGATCTATATTGTATGTCTGCAGCATGCAGGTCCAGTGGCCTCGATATAAACAGTGCCTCCACGGCGGGCAAACCACGTGCACCTGTGCGTGGTTGACTGTGTGGAGCCCGCGCTTGTTGTCAGGAGGCGGTGCCGCCTGTCACGTTGATCCCCTCCTGGCCCCGGGAGCCCGCTGAGCGCACAGGGCACATCCAGCACATCCATCCACAGAGCACAGCCTGCACACGGCGGCTGCACCTGTCTGCTGCAGGGCCACGACCACAGATCACAACAGTGCACGAGTCTGACAGTTCAGACTTACACGAAACATGTGTCTTGGTACATATACAAGAGGGAGCAATATCAGCTGTGTTAAAATGTCCTTTGTAATGACCATGATTCATCTAATCTCACTATACTAGAAAATATATAATAACAGTAAATCAATGTAAAAGCTGAAATAAGACTTGTAATCCCACATACTAATTTACCTCCTATGGGCTTTGGACCTTATTATAAAGCTCAGTATTATTATATCTATCATAGTGGAAATTAGGATGTGATTAGAGGAAAGCTGTAACATTTACACCAAATATGATTTTCCTATTCAGCCTCCTGTTTCTCAGGATTTTCCTATGAAAATCATTTGCAGCAAAATCCCTCCAATCACATAAAGTTTTGTTTGAGATACTTATGCGAGATTAGCAATTGCATTGGAGACATTTTGTATATATATAACTGTAATTTAAAAATGTTATGTATTTATAATGATAGTTAGGTTTGTTGTAATCTAAAGATACTTTTTGTTTTGTTTAAATTACAATTTTGATGTTTTCTCTCCATGTTAAATCTCTCTCTGATAAAAATGAGGACAGAAAATAGCAGCTGTTACACTTGCTTTTATCACCTCAGATTACATCAACCTTGAAACTTTCAGGGTGTTAAGAACAGTAGTCAAGGTAATAACTGTGGATCTTCATTCCTTCTGAAAGCTTCAAAAGGTCCACACACAATGTTCACTTGTCACTGGCCTTAACTAAAGGAAATATCTTGAGTGTAGTAAATTAAATAGAAGTGGCTACAGGACACTATTTACAAGATGACCATTACACAGGCCACAGTGATTTAGATATAATTAAATAACCACAACAACAATGGAAAGCCCCATGAATGTAATGGGGGCAAATGTACTTTTAATTATACTAAATTAGATTTAAAAAAAAGTTCCCTGACAAGCCCCTCAGTTCAGTTGTAGATCCTATAGCTTCACGGAGAACATCGAGGAAAACAAGCCTTTCTCAATAACAGAAAACATGTTCAATATTTTAGACAAAATTCTTGGTTAATTGAATAAGGTTGTAACGGATGCTGGTAAATTGGCTTAAGCCATTTAAGTATTGCATTAGTTTATGTGATACATACGTCCACTGACAAGTGTTACAACAGGCTGTTTCAAAACATTTCACAATGATAATGATAATTTTCTTTGGATGCAAAATGTAGGTTTGTTGGGGCTATATTTCGAATGTAATATTAGTCTTCAGGAAATCTAAGTAAAAAGAACAGTGAACATCTTAAAAAACTAAATCTGGTCACCTCTGTACTCAGCATGTTAACATACTGTGTTTCCTCATACCACATGGCTACAAGATATGTGCACTTCCTCATGTGTAGAGGATGTACTTCCTCATGAGGCTTCATTAATCTGACTGCTGCATTTGAGATAAATAGTTACCAACATATTATCAGTTGTCATGTAATGAAAAATGCCACCATTCAAGTGACACCTTATTTTCTCATATGTTCATGGTCCCATGCTGTTTAACACTCACCCTCATATCGTTTTACACACTTGTTTATTTAAATATATACTCCAAGAATGGAATGTACAATTCAGACACAAACCATCTATTAGTAGAAAAGTTCAGTTCGGTCAAGCAACACTTCGAATGACATCTTTTACTTCATCTATTTTTCTCCAGTCACACTCACACACACACACACGGCTCACATTCTGCTGTGGTTCTTTCCAAAGTGACCAACCGAAAAGTAACAATTGTTGTGTGTGCTACAGAAAACATCAGTGCTTCAGGACTAAATGAAATAAAGGAGGATTAAATAATTTAGTGCACAAAAGAATAATAATAAATCTAATTTACGGTTAGCTCCCAAAAGTCCTTTAAGTTTGGTTTTATGCCTCTATTGTGTCTCCATGAAATTCAAATGATCGAGCATGGCATTGAACTGCAGTCACACGACTCTCTCCTGCCGTCCAGTACGTTCATACAGGTCATTATTCAAACATCATAGTTAAAAAAAATAGTGTCCTGCAACAAGTAGAACCTTCATTTGAGATAATAGAAATATTACAAAAGTAAATGAATGTCTTCATGAACTAACAATGCTGTAGAAACATTGGAAAATAATTGGAATTCTTCAGGTTTGTATAGAGGAGTGGTCTCCTTGTTTTACATGTATGATGGTATAATTTCATTTACTTATTTAGGTTTTGCATATTATTGAATATTTCTGCTGTCAGACAAAAAAAATCTCAAAAAATGTATTGTAGAGTTCAAACAAACCGTCAAATCCATGTGACCTGAGTTTGGTGGTGCAACACTGAGGATTAAAACCTCAACACAAGGCCACTCGTGAGGAATACTCCCTCAGGAACAATGGCTGGACTTTGGCATGCAGTCAGTATGGTACAACGCAGAAGGCATCCAGGCTAGTAAAGCTGAAGTCAGTGTTTACATCTCCTCAAACCTACAAGACTGGCTTTTCAGGTCCCGAGGCACTTGGTGCACAAACTCCACTCACATACACATCTGCACTTGAGGCCACGAGTAACATACTCAGATAAATTTCCCTTCATAGACATTCACAAACACTTATTGTAGGAATGTCTGCTGAAGCATACGGTCGGACATAAATACATACAGTGCTGGAGAAGGACACATTTTTTGGCATTCTCCCATTTCGCACTTGGCACACCATCAGGAGCACGCAGGCACTAGTGAAACCTGGGAATCCTCAGGCGGGCTGCTGGGGGTTGATGTTCATGTGAGGGGGATGTCCCAGGAGGCCGATTCGTTGCTTTTGCTTCCTCTGCTCTGTCATCTGTGGGGGAAACAGAGATCTATTTATACCCCATGGAGTTTTTAACTAATAGTACTGCTAAAATCCAATTATACGTAGGTGGTGGTATGGTATTAGCACAAAGAAGTATACGCATGAACTTGCTATTCAACTAAGGCAATGAAGGAATGAAATACTGTGCCAACACAGGTAAGGAAAAAGTAGACCTGGATGTAAACAATGCATGACTTAAAATAGATGAAAACAAATGTGTAAAATGACCAATTGTTTACACGTGTGCACTGTTTTAACAGCAAGTTACTGTGCCAGACCATAGCAATTTTATGACTCACAACCACCATAAACACTCCATAAAATTGGAAAATAGGAAAGCTGTCCTAAAATGGAGGCAGAAGAATGAGAAACTAGAATGAACTCAGTGGACCTCCACCAAGGCTCAACATTCCCCTAATGAAACTACATTTAAATTCACTGGATCCAGATTTTTATGTGGATCTGCACTAAATATCAGTCCTCCAAGATCTGTGAATCATTCTCTGAGAAATCAATGAAAATGTAGAAAAATGAAGAAAACAATGTTAAAGAAAGTGGAAAGGAAATTCTGGATCCAGCCCCTGATCTGTTCAAAAATGTAATGGGTGGGTTCTTCCTTGGCTCAGGCCCCACCCCTCAACAAAATTTCAGTTGTTTAGTCATTGCACAATCCTGCTCACGAACAAACGCAGTTGAAAACCTAACGTCCTTGGCAGAGGTAATCAAGGGCTATGTTCTACAAAAATGAGGCGAGTGCATGATTTACTGTCACACTGTACCTGCTCCTTGAGCTCAGTCAGCTGTCCGGACAGGTTGGCCACCAGTCTCATGGTCGACTCCAGCTTCTCTTGCAGGTTCCTGATTTCATTCTGCTCACCCTCCGCGTCGCTGCTCACCAGAGACATGGCGCGCATCCGTGGAAACCAGTCCAGGTTGTGCTCCTGTGACCGACCAAGAATATCATCCTCTGACTCTTTTTTTTAAACTTTTGAAATAGATTTACTAGGAGTTAATAAACTTGGAGTTATGTCAAAAGAAGGATTGGTGATCCAAACAGGCAGGTTTTAATGTTCTGCTTAAATGTGAACTCTGTGACACTGGTCTATAAACTGTTTTTCAGAGGAACAAGCTTAGATGGCATTATTGCTGCACAACAAGCACAAAAGATACCAAAACAGAAAACTCTACCCTGTTTAGTTATAGTGCGTGACTGCAGCTCATGTCTTGTTTCACTGACTTCCTGTTTATCTGTTTGTACCATTGAATGTGCATGACTGGTATGACTCTCAGATGAAATCAGAAAAGAGGAATAGATTACTGAACTAAGTTTAACCTATAATAGACAAAATTAGACGTGCACTGTTAAACGAGGACCAGACGTGTCCGCTTGTCTTCAGGGTGCGGCCGTGCGTTTTGTTTACCTTGATCATCTCAGCCACGTAGCTCTCAGGGCCCGTGTACTCGGTGGAATCTTTCACTTTCACCAGCACGATAAAGAACAGGTAGTGCCACATGTTGTGCTCCTCTTTGATGTGCTCCTCGAAAGTCACCGTTTTGTTGTCAAACTTGTCCCGCTCCAGACCTGGATTAATAAAAAGAAGAAGAAGAAGTTGGCTTTTATTTGACCTGTTTCACACAACAGTTTCACATCAAGGGGTTTTTGGGGAAAAAAATAAAAATAAAAACAAAAATTAGAAACTTGACCTTGGGGGAAGGGAAAACATCACTTTGGCTAAATAAATGAACGAAAAAGTGGCCACATAATGGGAAATACATCACTAAGTTAGACAGGCTTTATTCATTCAGGACATTTCAGTGAGGTAAAGATCTCTTTGGCAGGAAAAGATCATAAACTCAGGCAAGGAATGAGAGTTTCTGGAAACCAGGCTTCCCCAGGTCAGAGCAGGTTTGGAGAACTGATACAGTCCTGTGATCTCATTTGGAAATGTTGCATTCTCACAGTACAAATTGGGTAAATGACGATATAAAATAAAAGTAATTAATGCTGCGTTTAACATCAACAATAAAATAATCACAGATGATATTGTGCTCAGAAAGAATAATGACCTATCTCGCCATCTTAAAGAAAGTGAAAAAAAAAAGTTTTCCTTCCACTTAAAATTGTTCTTCCTCGGCCCATACCCCCCACTTACAACAACTTTCATTAAACCCAGCTCAGTAGTTTTACCCTAATCCTGATAACAGACAGACAAACTGACAAACAAGACAGACAAATGGCAGAATACAGTTGTTTCTGTGCAGGTTTAAAGCAGAGTTCCTCCAAAAACAAGTATATTAGCACTAAATCATAGAGCTCCAGAAAAAGTATCATCCCCTATATGAGAGGCGATCAGATAAGTGGAGCTCATGTTGTGTCCTTCAAGGGGGTGAAACAGCACTTTAGTTTTATACTGCATGACAGACAGTGGTGGGGGACAGACAGTGGTGGGGGGATTTCCAAAGTAAAATAAATGCTAAATATGGCCTGACTGCTAAAGTTCAGCAAGGAGGATGCAGTTTTACTGTGCGATTGATCCTGCGCACAGAATGAAAATAAATTCAACCACAGGTAAGAATCCTGTGCAGGAAGATCGTGACATATATCAGTCAATGTCTCTGGAACCCAAAAATCTTAAAACTAATCTGAAGGCTGCGAGAAAGAAAGATTGGTGGCTTATTAAACCGAGCTGGAGGATGGAGAGCCACTTAAGCCTGTGAAGATCGGATCCTAATCTCCGCATCTTCTGTTCCCTCGAGGTCCTGCTGGAAACCATAGAGACGGCAGCTCCCCCTGTGGCCTGGCCTTATTTAATATGAGTGAGTCAGAGCTGATGGCTGCCTGGGTGACATAATGCTTTTCTCAATCCATATGCTTACCACCCGTTCACACCGCCTGACCCAACACACACACAGACACACA